TAAAAAAAATTAGTAATAAATGCCTTGTCACAAAGAAGATTCGAAATCAGGTGGATTTTTCCCCCATTAATTTTACCATCATTTAAAAATTAAACAGTAGCTACATTAGAATGAAAAAAATCTCCAGTTCACTTTATGAAGTCAGCATAGATTCAAAATAAAAACCAGACGCAAGCATTAAAAGAAAGGAAAATTAGTCTTATCACACTCATGACCAAAGATGCAAAAGTCTGAATCAAAATATTAACAAACAACATACATACAACAGTCTTTTTAAAACATCATGACCAAGTAGGTCATGACCAAGTATAAGAACTCAAAATTGTATGAGTATTAAAAAGTTAATTATAATTGACACCATAAAAAAATTTAAAGAAAAAAATAGTATCATTTCAATAAAAACGTGTGATAAAATCTAACATCCATTCACAATATAAACTTACTTATCAGCACACCAGAAATAGGAGGAAAATTCCTTAACCTGACAAATAAATATATACTGAAAAACTACAGCAAACATCATACTTAAAAATACTCAGTTTCCCTTTGAGCTCACGAACAAGACAAGATGTCCTCTCTATCACCACTTCTATTCAGGACTATACTGGAGGACCTAGTCAGAGAAGTAAGGTAAGAGAAAGAAAGAAAAGGTAAAGGATTATTAAGAAAGAAATAAAATTCATTATTCACAAATGATATGACTGTGAATACAGAAAATTGAAAACCATAGACAAACGGTTGAACAGTCCTGAGAGATTCAAAATCAACTCGGTTTCCACATAAAGAGTACTAGTAATTAGAAAATGAAACAAACATACAAAATACCTAGCAATAAAGTCCAGTAAGAAATATAAAAAGTTAACAAATCCAAAGAGCCAATAGACAAATCCTCTGAAGGAACAAAATCATAGACTCGTACGAAAAGACACTGTAGAACTAAGTAGGTACATACTGGGCAGAGCTGCTATTGTAAAGACAGCAATCTAACCCAAAATGATTTGTCAACACAATCTCAGTGACAAGTTATTAGGATTATGTATGTGTATACAACTTGACTTGCTGACATTTATGTGCATATGGAAATGCAAAGGAATGATAAACCATTCTTGCAAAATTGGGAAGAAATGTCTCTAAAACACATTAAGACTTACTAGACTATGGAAAGTGTGACATGTTAGTAGAATTCACATAAAACAAACCAATTGAGAACAACAGTGAAAGTCAGAGATCCACACATTTAAACATTTGCTGCATGCTATGTGTCATGACAAAAAAAAAAGGATGCTTTGTCTTGGTTTTTCAATAAATAATACTGGAATGTCAGTTAGTCACATGCAAACAAATCAAAGTGAACTTACATACTACACTGCTCACAAAAATAAATCCTACCCAACAGGTAAGCACCTGGTCACTACTGAAGTCCACCAGTGGCTCTGCAGGGTAAAGACCTGGCAATCTGCTCCTATAAAGATATACAAGCCTAGGAAACGCTATGGGGCAGTTCCATCATACAGCATACCTATTCTGTCATACAGCATTGCCATCAGTTAGAAATGACTCAACAGAACACAACTGGTATTCACAACAATAACCCATAAAAAAGAATTCTTTCAAGTTATAGTAAAGTCTACAGATTATATATCTCTAGTGGAATATACCTTGAATACAAGCATCAAGTTGTTAATGGTAATGCTTGCATGGGATTTCAAAATGATGCCCAACAATAAACATAATCAGCTGCTAACCAAAAAACTGAAGGTTCACAACTACCCAGAGATGAGAGATGCCTTGGAAGAAAGGCCTGGCAATCTACTTGTGAACATGCAGCCACTGAAAACATGGAATACAGTTCTAACACACAAGGGGTTACCATGGGTAAGACCAATTCTAAGGCTCAAGTCTTACGTGATTTGGTATATACATCTAGTTACATAAAGAAAATAAAAATACAGAAGTGTCATTAAAAAAAACCCATCATTTTTAGAGTAAGAGAGAAGATATACTAAATTAGTAAATAAATACTAAATAAGTAAAAACACTATACCCTTTCATTTGAAGTGGAGAAATACCACCATAAACTCAGTATTTTACTTCAAATTTAAAAACCAAAAATCCTTTTTTATTAGTTTTGTCCACTAGTAATGAAAGCCCAAACACCTAAACTGTGGTTTCTTTTTTTTCTGTTCTTGTTATGTACCATCAAATCAGATCTGACTGGCATAGGAGATTGCCCCTGCTCCAGCAGAGCATCTGGTGGATTCAAATTGCACGCCTTCAGGATTGCAATGTAGCTTCTTACCACTAGGCCATCAGAGCTCTCTTCAAATTGTGGCCTCTTAATAACAATTAAAAAAATAATAATAATAATAATGCTGTTGTTCCTGCTAGGGAGCTTTTGTGGCCTCGCGGTATCTCACTATAAACCCAAATGCAAGTGGTTCAAATCCACTAGCTGCACTGTGGGAAAGATAGTTAATCTCCTTCCATGCGACGTACAGCCTCTGAAAACCCACTGGCGAACTTTCAGTCAGTTCTGACTCAATGAAGCCTACCAACCACATACCAAGTCCCATATAAACACTACTACATAGAAAAATGGCTAATTCCAGTTCTGGGGCTTTTACATACACAGAATGAGCCTGGGATCTCTTGCAAATCCTGAAAGAAGCTACATACTAGAATACTGGACTCATGTCAAAAGGAGATTATGACTGAAAACCATGTAATTCTACTATCATAAACAATGATGTAATGGATTTAACACAGCAAAACATAAACCACAAAATTCTGTAAACTGAGACAGTATTCAAAACCCAAAAAGGACTGGTCACTTTTGCAGGCTGAAAGGGACGAGCTCATTGTTCTGAAACTGATTTTAAAAGACTTGACTTTCCAGCTGTTGTTAGGTGCCATCTAGTCAAGTACGACCCATAGCAACCCTATGAACAACAGATCTGAACCCTGTCCTACCCTGTGCCATCCTCACAATCTGTCTTTCCAGCAGGGACTGACTGTCTTTCAGGGTAACCAAATATTTAACAAAAGAAATGTCTTCTTGTTGCAGGGGGAAGCCACAAACTAATAAATGCAAGAATTATAAAAGCAGAAATAAAAAAATCTAGTAAGTAAGACACAACGACTGTAAAAACTATAAAGAGGAACTTTAGAATGGATTGATCAGGATGAAGTCAATAGTACCTACTTCTTAATTTTAACATGTATAAAAGTGGAAATACTAAGCATATTCCCCCTGATAAAGGATATACTCAGAACCACCAGTAATTTACCCTCGACAAGGAAAAAAACCCCAAAACTAACTTTAACCAAGGCCCTCCATCAGTTCACAGGAAATAAGAGATAGAAAAGCATATCAAAGGACTGTGGAGATAGCTAAAAAAAACAAACAACAAAAAACAAAGAAAAAATCCACGAAAATATTCTATAAAACATATAACCCTATTTCTACAAATAAACGGTCAATGAAAAGAAGAAACTGATGAAAGATTAAATGAGATTTTAAGACACAAACCATTCAATGCAGAATGTAGGCCTTATTTTGATCCGGAGGCAAATAATGAATAACATTTCATTTTTAATAAAAGCAAAAATAATTTAATTGGTTTATATATATGGTAACTTTGTTAGGTGAAATAATGGTATTGTGATATTAAAACAGTTTTTATGTGCTAGAAATGTGTACTGAAGTATTTACTGGTAAAATTCTCTGATACCTGTGACGACTTGTGAATTACTTATACAAGTAAAGTGAGGAAACATTAAGTTAATGGATTAAAGTTCTTCAAGAAGGAAATCAATTCTATTGAGGTAATTAAAAATATATATGATGGCAAATAGAGCTTTTATATAATATAGAAGAAAACCTTTCAGAACAGAGAGAATATGGTCAACAAAACACAAAAACCACTAAATAAAATGTCTGAAACCAACCATAACTCACTTTCTCTCTCTATATATATAGATAGAGAGAGAGAGAGAGATACACACATACAGTTTGTTTCACATTATTTCTAAGGTACTTACTGCTGGTAAAAGGGACTGCATATTTTGATTAGAATCTGCTATCGTAGCAAGGTACACCAAGTTTGTATGCAACATTTGCTGATACCTATAAGACAAAAGAAACATCAACTATTAAAAAATTATTTTATTCCTATTTGCTTAAACAAATAGCATTCTAAACATACCTAGAGTTTAAAAAAGTATTTATGAACAATAAGAATATTTCAATTTCTTCTATATTGCTTCCATATATAAAAATAATGTTTGAAGACTAAATGAACTGAGTATTATGTAGAGTTTGCTTTTATGAGAACAATTAAATACAGATCTCAGATGGCTTAGTGGCAGAGAGCTGCACTGCCAGCCCCAGCATATGCAGTTTGAATCCACCAGCTAAGCTGCTCTGTAGAAAACAGATGAGCAATCTTCTGCCTCCGAAAACCTGCTGGAGAGTCGGGTATGAGTTGGTTCTGACTCAACAGTATACAAACACATTACTTTAAAAATAGGCACAAACTACTAAAAGCAATATAAAGAAATTGAAAATTTCTACCCACTTTTACAGTCTAAAATTGAAGGAGCATGCAATCAAGATGCAGCAACGGTAACTGGAGATGGGGATGTTCCAGTTAGAAACAAAGAACTGCTAGTTGAAAATGATGGCCGTGGTAACAGCAATGAGGCCCGAGATGGCACAAAGGAGTTTTGTACAATCAATATTGATTATAAATATATATATTTTTTATATTACATAAATGTCAACTACACACATGCACTTCGCTGATGGGATACAAGGGAATCAGGGAGACTGATGTGTATAAAGAGAAAGGAGAAAAGTTCCACCTCAGGAGCCCAGGGGCCAACTGGAGTAGCAGCCAACTGTGGAACAACCATCACTTACTCATGTGCAAGTTCAAACCAGGACTAAAGAGAATCAACAGTCCAGGAGAGCCAAAATATAACCCAATACTATCTCATATACATTTAAACCTCAAGAATCCATCTGATCCACTCAGCAGTCAGTCGTTTGTGATCAAAGATCAGATCAGTAGTGGGGGGACATCACAGAAGAAAAAACAAAATATAATTCAAAATTCAAAGACAGGGAAAAAAGAAGACCAAAATGGATGTTGGAACAGACCTGTAACTTGCACTTGCTCCTGGATGGAGAGGAGGAAAAAATAAAGGAAGAAAAGAAGTAAAGAGCTCAGGAGGCAGCCCAAGAAGATAAAGTAAGGTATTATCAAGAACTGTGCAAAGACCTCAGGTTAGAAAGCAAAGGGGAAAACAGGCTCAGTTTTCCCAAGCTAAAAATTCATGCCCAAAAAGTTGAAATACTGAAGTATTCCATGGGCAAAATCATGAACAATGAAGGAACCATTTAAAAAAATGGAAGAAGACAGTCACAAGACACCTATTCAATCTGTATGCTCGAGAAGCTGGACTCGATGAAGAACGTGGCATCAGGATTTGAAGACTCAACAACGTGCATTATGTAAATGACACAACTTTGCTTATTGAAAACACTTGCTGTAGAAAAGCAAACACTATAGCCTTCAATCTGGATTACATCTCAGTATTCTCACCACTGGACAAAAGGACAACATAATGATAGATGGAGAAAAGACTGAAACTGTCCACAACTTGATATTATTGAATCCACAATCAACACACTTGGTACCAGCGGCCAGGTGATTAGGAGGGGTACTGCACTGGCAAAGTCTGCAGTCAGAGACCTCTCCACGTTACAGAGGACCGACCAGTAATGTCAGATTGAGAACTAACGTGCACCTGATTAAGCTATGGCTTTTCAATCACTTGCTATAAGATCAAATACTACAGCCTTCAATCTAGATTACATCCCAGTATCAACAACACAAAAATTCTCAACACTGGATAGATGACAACATGATGCTAGAAAAAGCTCAAAACGGTCAACTTCATCTTACTTGAATCTGCAATCAACACCCTTCGTACCAGTAGTCAGGGGATCAGGAGGGTATTACATTGGGAAAGTCTGCAGTTAGGGACCTCTCCAAGTTATTGAGGACCAATGATGGCAGTTTAAGAATGAAGGTGCACCTGATTCAGTTAGGGTTTTTTTCAATCACCTGCTATGCTTCTGAGCGCTGGACAATAAAAAAGGATGACAGAAGAAATGATGTCTTTGAGCTGTAGTGTTAGAGAAGAATACTGACTATCCCATGGGCTTCCAAAAGAACAAAGAGTTATGTGTCAGAGAAAATGCGGTCAGAACACTCCCTGGAGGCAAAGATGACAAGACTTCATCTCCTGTACTTTGGGCATGTTGTTAGAGGAGACCCTCTTCCCAGGAGAGGGACATCATGCTAAGAGGGGTGGAGGATCAGCAAAATAGAGGAAGACCATTAAACAGGTAGACTGACACAGTGACTGTTGCAGCAGCCTGGAGTGTGTCAGAAATTACAAGGATGGCACAGTATAGGATGGCATTCAGATCTATTGTTCATTATTAGGTCACTACAAGTTATACCTGACTCAATACGCCAACTAATACCACCACCTCCAAAAGAACTGGTCAACACTGAACCAATACTAGAAATAGCATATGATCAAGCACCACAGATACCAGAGAGAAAAAGCCAGGCAACACTGAAGGAATGGACCAAAAAAAAAAAAGTTTCCATGAACTGATAGAATACTAACTGAGATGTTTCGACAAACAGCCCTGATGTGGTCACTAATCTATGTAAATTAATTTGGAAGACAACTATCTGTTCAACAACTGGAAGAAATCCTTTTCCTTGCCATTCCAAAAAAAAAAACCAACCTAACTCTGTCAGAATCCAGATAAATTACTGAGCAACATCATTAATATCACATAAAAGGTTATTTAAATAAATAAATACATACATACATAAATACATAAATAAAAATGGCTGGACCAGGACATTAGCAGAGAACTTCCAGAAATTAAAAGTGATTCAGAAGGGGCAAATGAACAATGCTGATCTCAGACAGATCTTGGCTAAGAATATCAGAAAGATGCTTACTTGTCTTTTATTGACTATGTAAAGCATTTGGCAGTGTAGATCGTAACAAATGATGGATAATACAGTGTATAATGGGAGATCAAGAGCAATCCATTGCATTTATACAGAGCCTACAGACTAAGAAGTAGTCATATAAACAGAACAATGGGATACTAAATGTTGAAAATCAGGAAAAGGTGCATCAGGGTTGTAACTTTTTATCACACCTACTCAACCTGGTGACTTAGTTGTAAGGAATTGCGTTGCCAATCCAAAGGCATGTGGTTTGAGTCCACTAGCTCCTCCAAGGGAGAAAGATGGGCAGTCTCCTCCAACATGATTTACTGCCTCTTAAACCTGCTAGAGGGTCAGTTTTGACTTCATGGAACACAATAACCCAACCCATATAATGAGAAAATAACAGCAGCTTTATTGTATTAAAGTGACTATGAAAGAGATCCATATTTGTTTTCATTCCAAAAAAAGTGTGATCCAAAAGAATGTGGAAATTACCAAATATCACTAATATCATATTCAAGAAATGTCTTGCTAGAGATTATCCAAAAATTATCAGAACAGTACATCACACTAATGTCAAGATAGATCTTGGGTGAAAGCAAAGATAACCAGGAAGGTGTCTATTTGTGATCCTCAAATCACAACTATGCAAAGGGTTATGTTCCCTGCTTGGAAAAGGTGAAGGGTCAGCCAAAGAGAAGAAAATCCTCAACAAGATGGATTGACAGTTACTGTAACAATAGGCGTAAACCCAGCTGAGATCTTGAGGATGGTACAGGACTGGAAAAGGGTGTGCTCCACTGTGCACAGAGTTGACAGGAGCTCAGCATCCACTAGATGGCATCTAACAACAAACAGCCTCTTTAGGATCCCAGCCACAGATCTGGAGGCTCCAAGAGCCAGGTCCCCTCCTCATCTGCTGGGTACATGTGTAGTGGTTTCCATCTACCCTTTCAGGAAGTCAATTCTGGATTCCTATCACCTCCTCAGGTTTGACAATTTACTAAAATAATTCACAGAGCTGAGAAATGTGCTTTTACAACTACAGTTGTATTCTAGAAAAAAGGACAAATTGATGAGATACAAAGGACACAGCCTTGTATAGTTTCTGACGCAAAGCTTCTGTGTTCCAAAAGCACAACATAACACCCTTCCAAGAATTGCTGTGTTTCTCCAAGCAGAAAGTTCATTAATATTCAGTGTCAAGAGCTTTTAATGGTGATATTACTAAGGGAGCAAGGGTGAGAAAGTCCATAGGGAGTTGCACTCTAAACCAAGGTCTCTGCCCCTGGCAGTTCAAATCCACCAGCAGCTTCTCCAGAGAAAGATGGGAAATCTCTTTTCTTTAGATTTATAGCCTTGGACTCCAATGGGGAAGGAGCACCACCAATTAGTTTGTTCCAACTTGATCACAATGTGTTTAATGGGAGACATGAATTCAAGTGGATGCACTCAAGCTTCACCTGGTTCACTCCCAAGGTCGTGCTAATATAACAGGGTAGGTCTTTCTGGCCCTAGCTACCCTCAGTATGAAAGACGAAGCTTTGCCATCTTTGCCTCCAAGGAGCAATTAAAAAAAAATCAAAAGACTGCACTTTCTCCAAGTCTTATCTGTCTGTCCTTTTGGCAGTCCATGGTACACTGACGGAACAACTGGAAAAAACTGAAAAAATTCTGATGGGATACAATACCACATTCTCAATTACATAATCATACTATGGGTATTTTAGAATATATGTTCATGAGATGAGGAAACACTAGACTAGTTAAGGCTAAAGGAATCCCTCAGATCAAACTATCACTCTGAAATACTCTTTAAACCTTCAACCAAAACTATCCCATGGTCACCTTTCAGTGAAGTCACAGTCTGGTATACAATATTAAGAATATTAATTGTAAGAGGCTCCATTAAAAAAGTACCTTTGCAATCACATGACCAACAAATACTATTAAGCAAAGATGAGAAAATGTAGGAGTAAAGTAACCTAAATACAGGGATACACTGAATAATGCCTACAGTCCACTCCGTGAAATAGATATAAGGCAATATGAAGGTAGTGTAAACACCCTATTATAT